CTTTCTGCTCCTATGATGCTGCTTGGCCTGCTGTGTTCATCCAGCCCTGCACCTTGTTGCCTCAATTTTATTAGTTATCCAGCATTTCCTACACCTACCAGACTTGCCTAGAGTTGTTTAATTGTCCATCACCATTCACGACTGGATGTGACAGGACTGCAGAGCTTAGATCTGATCCGTTGGTTGTGGGATCGCTTAGCTCTGTCTATCACTTGCTGCTTTCACTGTTTGGTGTGCAAGTAGTCCTGTTTGGTGCTTCACCAGGTTGGTGCCTCATCTTCAGGTATGCCTGGTGCTGCTCCTAGCATGCCCTCCTGCACTGTCCATTGAACTAGGCTTGATCCCCTGGCTTGATGGTAATGGTTGAGTGGGGGATATGCCGGGCCATGAGGTTACAGATTGTGCTGGAATACAATTCTGCTGCTGTTAATGGCCCACAGCACCTCATTGGTGCCCCCAGTCTTGAGTTGCTAGATCTGTGTGAAGTCTGCCCCATTTAGCATGGTGATAGTGCCACACAACATGATGGAGGTTGTTCTCACAGTGTGAAGGCGGGACTTCGTCTCCACAAGAACTGTGCAATGGTCACTGTTACCGATACTGTCATGGACAGATGCAGCTGCAGCTGCAGCTGGCAGATTAGTAAGGATGAGGTCAAGTATGTTTTTCCCTCTTGTTGGTTTCCTCAGCACCTGCTGCAGACCCAGTCTAGCAGCAATGTCCTGTAGGACCCGGCCAGCTTGATCAGTAGTACTGCTGTCGAGCCACTCTTGGTGGTGGACATTGAAATCCCCCACCCAGAGTACATTTTGTGCCCTTGCCATCCTCAGTGCTTTCTCTAAGTGTTGTTCAACATAGAGCAGTACTGATTCATCAGCTGGGGAGGATGGTATGCGGTAATCAGCAGGAGGTTTCCTTGCCCATGTTTAACCTGAAGCTATGAGACTTCATCAGGGCCGGAGTCAATGTTGAGGACTCCTAGAGCAACTCCCTCCCGACTGTATACTACTGTGCCGCCCCCTCTGCTGGATCTGTCGTGCCAGTGAGACAGGACACATGCAGGGATGGTGATGGTGGTGGTGGTGTCCGGGACATTGTATGTAAGGTATGACTCTGAGTATGACTATATCAGGCTGTTGCTTGACAGTCTGTGAGACAGCTCTCCCAATTTTGGCGCTAACCCCCAGACGTTAGTGAGGAGGACTTTGCATGGTCGACAGGGCTGTTTCTGCCGTTGTCTTTTCCGGTGCCTAGGTCAATGCCCGGTGATCCATCCAGTTTCCATTTCTTTGAGTCTTTGTAGCGATTGGTACATCTGAGTGGCTTGCTAGGCCATTTCAGAGGGCAGTTGAGAGTCAACCACATTGCTGTGGGTCTGGAATCACATGCGCGTCAGACCAGGTGAGGGTGGCAGATTTCCTCCCCTGAAGGACATTAGTGAACCAGATGGGTTTTTCCGACAATCAGCAATGATTTCATGGTGATTAGTAGATTCTTAATTCCAGACTTTTTTTTTAAAATTCCAATTCCACCATCTGCCATGGCGGGGTTCGAACCTGGATCCCCAGAACATCAGCTGGGTTTCTGGATTAATAGTCTAGTGATAATACCACTAGGCCATCGCCTACCTGCAGTAATTTAACTATAACACAGTGTTTGCCTGTTAGAATATCATAGAACTTGGGATATAAAGTTTACAGCATAAGTTCAGAAGTTAGAGATTCAAGTGAATGAATGGCAGATGAGCACACGTGAGTTAGGCCAAGGGAAAACTGTTCTAGCATTTTATATAGAGTAAGTGCAGAATCCTATTGACAGTAGAAGATAGGTAGTGTTTCAAGTAAATTGATAAAATTACTTTGGACTTATTTTGATGTCATGAATTGATATCAGCAAAATGGTCTCTATAATTTTTCCTCTGAAAAATGCAGTTGATATGTACAACTTCATTTCAGCAAGATATTCAAAATATTGAAATTTGTCAGCAAATTGGTAAACAAAGGGACCTCCTTGGCTACCTCAAATCTGCTTAAACTTAAATTTGTGGATAGATCCCCAGAATACCACTCTTATCAAAATATGTAATAATGTGTACTAAGTGTAATCTTTCATTATAATAATTGTATGGTACAATTCACACTTTAGTTCAAATCAACTTTGTTTATTTCTGGAGTCTGTTTGCTTGTAAATAGAGGAGTCCATGGATATAATACAACATGAGCGTGAAGATGATATTCAAAAAGGCTTGTTCCCAGTATGTTTCAATGTGTGTATCACACTGCAGTTTATGTGCAGATCTATATTAAACATTACTTAACAGGGAAATAAAAAAAAAATCCACCATCTCATCATTACATCTATTTTTGAGTATTTAATTTTCCCAAGTATATT